ATATATTTTTCGTTAATTTATACAACATATCGATTTCAAATATTCGTATAAATTAATTTTAATGATATAGCTTTCGTTCTAAAATTTTATTGGTATTGGACTTGACTTTATCATCATCTAGGATAGATCGCTTTATTGACCGTCAATTAATCAGCTGACTGATTGAAAGTTTGATTGATCAGGTTAGTTGGTTACAGCATCGTTATATCATTCGATTTGCTTCTAATCTACATTTGAAGATCTCTCTTGATTATTAATGAGTCAAACCGATTATTCTTTCCTTCAATTTTGACGAATACTATCTGACTTAAAATTCAATTGGTGTAAAAGGGACGATAAAAATCGTGTTACAAAAATGGTATATTTTCGCGTGAAATATGATCGAAATTTATTCATGAGAAATTTGAAAATCATCGGGCGATAATTCTTGATTTTATTAATTTGAAATTATTCGTTTTTATTAACTTTGATTTTATCGTTTAATAAGTTTATTTTGAATAATCGAGAATATTTTGTTATCGAGTTATTTAAAGAGAAAGAATAATTGGAAGTGCAAGCTGATTAAATTTAAAAAAAAAAATGTGAAAATCCCATAAACTTTCAAACAGAAGTTGGAACTTTTAAAAAACGAATAAATCCGATGATTAACTCTAATCAAAATTTTAATCAATTATGAAACTTATATATATATATATATATCTATATAACTATATGTCAAAAGACATTTTTAAAACAATACGAGTACAATTAGATCCATTCCAATTCGATCGAATTTTTTCTCAATTTTCTTTTTTGAAAGAAAAAAATCAAATTTCGCAATTTTGACCTACTTTCGTGCGATTCCATTTTGTACCACAAGCTTTACGTTTGTCTTCCATGCGATTACCTAGTAGTAGCCATTTATAGACTACTTTTCGCTCCCCGTAGAATATTGATTTAGAAAAGGACGTTCTCTCCTTAGGCTACCCTCGGTTAGGTCGTGATCACACGAGCGTTAAAAAAAAAATGGACGTTATGACGTAAGTTACAATTTCGTAGCAATGACGTTGGATAATTCAATAGCCTCGTCTCAGTGTTTTATTTATAATGCATTATTAGAAAAACTTCCTTCATTCCACCTTTACTCGTCGACAAGTTCACAAATATTCATTGGCCAATTTGCCAAAAGTATTCATTATGCTGACTGTTATCGGAACGTGTTATCGGAAGCATGATATAAGAAACGTGTTTACTTCGATTATATATAAATGAAACTTCTCATCGGGAAATCTCGCGTGATTCCATTTGTTTATATTCGAAGTTAAAATTACTTCGAAACATAAATTCAAAATATACGTGACTGTTCGTAAATATTACGCGTAAATTTTCAAGAAATCGATCAGCATTTAAATTCCTTATTTTTAAATCATTAATCGTTTTTCGATTATTTTCGATCAAAGATTGGCTTTGATGCGATGATGATAAGAAAATAATCGGTTAAATTAAGCCTTTCTGTTGTCTCAAATTGGTTCAAAGATCTCGTTTACGAAAATCGTAACGGTGTCGCGTAAATGATAGAGCATTATTATTACTTCGAAATCGGAACGACGTCCGTATCGCTCGTAATCGTACTTTTCATCCGGTCTGGATGGAACGGATCATGAGAAAATTATAACGATCCATACACGAGACACCAATATCACATGGAAAAATGAATATCACGCTCCATAAAATTCTCATCGATAGACGTTCGACTATCGATCGTGACGATGATCGATCATGTATAATTTCTCACGATGCACCTATATGATTATACTATTCGTAAAAATTTATATTCATATATACATCATCGGATAACACAGTTCACTTTACGATATCTTCAAACGTGACACAATACCATCACAAATTATGTACAACATAATTTTTATACATTTTAAATTACTTCTTTAATTGCTTTTAAAATAAGTCATCAAGATATCTTCAAAACAACAAAAAAAAACAATATTCAATTCTTAGATATTTCAAAATGCAAAAGGCACAGCAGGACACTCGAATTATTTCTCGAGTTATATATAAAGAGAAGCTATATACCTATTTATTACATTACATTTATACATACACGATATTTCGAACATATTAGATCGCGAACGGTACACGTACAAACACACACACACGCACAAGCACTCGCACAGATTCTGTCGACATCCATGGAAGTGGATTTGAGCGTGGCCACGACTCGAAGATTTAACGGTACGAGATCGTCGAGGACGGGCAAGCATCGGCGATCGTCCCCGCTGCAATAAAGCGGTGTGCGAATTCAACGAGTTAGTAGCATGGGCATGTGTGTCTGTCTGTCTGTCCGAATCGCAGCACGTTAACGTCGATACCTGTGATATGATATGTAAATATATATGTGTGTGTTTCCCGTACGTGTGTATCACCGTGTGTATGTGTACGTATATTTATATACTTTTAATTAATAAATATATATTTTTTAAAATTAGTATATTAATATATATATGTATATGTACATATACACTTCTCCTGTTTTTTAATCTTAAGAGTATGATCCGCTTCGAAGTGTTGATTCGAATTTTTTCCAAGATATAACGATTTACAAACAGGATATTGGATATTTAATAGTGGAACTTCGGAGTGGATCGTCGATATTTGTTCAATGTACATCCCTACACGATTCACGCCGAGCTTTTGCACGCTGCCAAGAAATCGTGACCTCCGAGTTCGATGGTTGTTACATTGTTAGATGTGCATGAGCCTATCGGTATGAAAATCGTTTGAAAATATGAAATCGATGATTATTAATCACGGTAATTATATTTGTCCCTTGTACAATAACTTTTTTTATAATTAATAATATTAGTGAATCGAGGATTAAGAGGTTGTAATTTATTCAACAAAGTCTGCCATTATTGCAAGACTTACAAAATTTCACTAATAATATTAATCTAATTGTTTCAACAAGACACTAAAATAATATTTCCCCTCCTTTTTTTTATTTTCGATCTTAAATGATTTTCTTGAATATTTTTCGAAATTTCCCCCTTTTGTTCCCTTTCTATTACAAGATGATAAATTTAATATGAAGAATTTAATATTGGGGAAAGTTCTATTCATGGCAAAATCTATGTTTAAGCAGTAAATCCTATAAATTGTATAAATTATATACACGAAAAGATCATTATGTATATTCGTTTAACGTTTAATTAACTTTCATGCAACGAAGAGTCAAAGAGGTAAATGTTACAATTCGAGAGAGACAAATGTCAATTCGGTTACCTGTTACATCTAAGGAGACGGAAGAAAAAAGAAAAAAATATAAAGAACAAATGAGATTAAATTCTCCCGCGAGGAATATTTACAAAAATCTCGCGTAGTCATGCGAAAGTAGACATTTTGTAAACTCGTACCAGGCAAATTTCCGGGACGCAGGATGAATTCTTGAAAAGCTTTTCAAATATTCCTCTCGGTTCAACATTTTTTGAGCATTTTTTTTTTTGTTTTTTAAATCGCGATTTCACGGAAGTATATTTATCCTCTTGTTAAATTACACGCGAGGAGCGAATGAATGTAAATGTTTATTAATCGGCGTATCTCGCGGGACCAAATGTGAATTAAATACGATTTTAAAGAGGAATATACCAATTTTCCATCTCTGTTTTTTAATAAATTTTTAAACGACGCACTATTTTATTTATCATAAATTAATATTGCGTAACAATGTATATAAATCAATGTAAGAATCTTTATCATCGAGTGAATCTCTTGAAAGATATCACGATTGGAAAAATTAAAATTTAATGAAAATTGTGTTTAGAATTCCAATTTTACATAATTTCATGAGCTGACTATGCTCTATGTCTTCGTGTTTCGTGTCTCGAAAATAATTTCATCACTGAGTGCAACGTTTCTTCCATTCAAGATATTCGCTTAATAGAAATGATTCTCTGATTGCCTCCAACGTGACGTATTCACGCAAAGTTCACCAAATAAAATTCTAGCCTTGCCAACTAAAAATTTTATTGCATTTAGGAAAGATATGTATAAGCCATCTTTTTTGAAACTGATGGTATCCAACCTAACCCCCTGTTCACGATTAATCGTGAAGGCTTTAAAGGCGAATTGAACCGATATAACATAGATCGTAATAGCGCGATCCTTTCTGAGAACATAATCCTCTTTCTTATCTTCTCTTGATTTTATTGCTCTTTCAATGGCTCCTTGGTGATCCGCCATTTTTCCAACGTTAATACTCTTGAAATTTGAATGGTTAGATCGTGCGAATTTTGTAACTTAGGAAAGGTAGCGAGAAGTAAAAATAAAAGTTATACGATGGAACTTGGTTTATTTGTTATTTTATTAACGTACGATTGAATCCATTTTCACAAAAATTCCAATTATTTTCCGTTTAAACGAAAATCATATTTTTAGAAAGTATTATTTGTAAGGAAAAATTAAATCCGTGGATTTATATCTATATCTGATTCCACGAATGATTCCCATATTAAACCGCATATAAATGGAGTTCTATTGTAATTTAATGAATGATAATAATTTAGGAGCAAAAATATGGTAAGGAGAAAAGTTGAAAGAAAATTTTCTATTATAACATATAAATAAACATCATGCAAACTCTTCTTTCTAACATCGTATAATCCAATACTATAAGATATTAGTGATATCAAGTGATCAAAGATCAATTATATGAAATATATTAATTTAGAAAAATCAAGATACATTTCTTTCGTTTCTTTAGACAAGTAACAGGTAACAACACTTGTTATAAAAAATAAATAAATAAATTATCTAAAAGATTATTAAAAAAAAAATAAATAATTATCTAATGAAGAACGGATGAATATGATTCTGTCAGGTAAGTAAAAAAAAAAAAAATAAAAAAAAAACTTGGGGATCAAATTAGACGAAATAATTGGAGCACGTGTCGGGATAGGCAAGCGGTGTGAAACAATCGTCTAATCATCGATTTTGCGTAACTTTCACAGTGATCTGCGCTCAAGGATTGATCGCGAAAGACAAGAGCGGCACATCTGATCCATACGTGACGGTCCAAGTCGGCAAAGTGAAGAAGCGAACTAGGACCATGCCGAGGGAATTGAATCCTGTTTGGCACGAGAAGTTCTACTTGTGAGTAATTTTATTACGCGAGTTTCACCTGATATCGTAAAAAAAAGAACGAAAGAGAAAATATAATTATAAATTATTGAAATGTGTAATAAAAATAATATAAAAAAAAACAGATATACGATTCTATTTTAAAGAATAGATCGATACCAAAATCCGTATTATTTAAAAAAAAAATTGTCTACAAGTTTTTCCTCCAAACCATTTTATTCCTAATTCAAAATACGATCAATAAACGGATATATATTAATATAATATTCTTTTAAATAGATAATCGAAATAATTCCCAAAAGAGAGAAAATAATTCATATTCCGAAGCTATTTATATAACATCTAAACGGAAGGAGGAGATCGGGCGGAATTCGAACACCTGAACAATTTCCTGAAATGAAAATCGGATGAGCGAACAATTCGAATCGGCAAATCCAATCTCTGTGAAACCCTGTTAACCTCTCGTTTTCCCGGTTTACAGCGAATGCCATAACTCGTCCGACCGGATAAAAGTGAGAGTGTGGGACGAGGACAACGATTTGAAGTCGAAGCTACGGCAGAAACTGACGAGGGAGAGCGACGATTTCCTCGGTCAAACAATCATCGAGGTGAGGACACTGAGCGGGGAGATGGATGTGTGGTATAACCTTGAGAAAAGGACGGACAAGAGCGCGGTTTCCGGCGCGATCAGGCTGCACATCAGTGTGGAGATCAAAGGCGAGGAGAAGGTCGCTCCATACCACGTGCAATACACATGCCTGCACGAGAACCTGTTTCACAGTTTGTGCGAGAAGAACGATGGGGTGGTCGCGTTGCCCCAGGCGAAGGGTGATGACGCCTGGAAGGTGTACTTCGATCCACCAGGAGAAGAGCTCGTGGACGAGTTCGCGATGAGATACGGCATCGAGAGCATTTACCAAGCAATGACGTGAGTCGTGCTTATTTGACAGTTCAAATTCTTTGGGAATTTTGTATCAACGAGGATGTGTAGTCCCTCTAGCTGTCACTTTGATCAAGATCCCCGGCTACTCCTCTTCCCTTTGAGCGGTGTTTCTTAATGAACATTTAATGTATTATTTTTGTCCATGTGACCTTTTTCGATGATCTTTTTTTGGAGCTCTCTTCGCTGCAACTTTCCATTTATTCTTTATTAATGTAATGGTATCTAGGCAGAGAATTATTTTTTATTATTTAATGAAGAGGATGTATCTACGTGATTTTTAAATTTTGAGGCGAGTAATGTATTATGTGTAAAAGAATAAGCTTGAAAAATATATAAAAATTTAAATTAGGTCACTAGCCTTCCTTTGGAACATCACAAGTTTTAAAATATCGCTGAAATATCGATATTGGATAATTTTATTAAGTACTTGCTGTGTTTTGTCTCTTTACTTTTTTTTTTTTTAAGAATCCATACAAATTAGAATATCATGAAATAATTATAATTTAAGTAGCACATAGAAAATCTATCAATATTCTATCAATATTCATAGATTCATCTCGTATTTTTCAATCGTTTTTCACAGACATTTTCACTGCCTCTCCACAAAGTACCTGTGCCCAGGTGTGCCAGCGGTGATGTCCACCCTGTTGGCGAACATAAACGCGTACTATGCCCATACAAGCGCGAGTTCCGCTGTTTCGGCCAGTGATAGATTCGCCGCCAGCAATTTTGGGGTGAGTTTTCGAAAAAAAAAGAAAAGATTGGTTCTCATTTCTAGACTGCGGATGTTATGTTACGTTTATATTTTCATCATGATCGTAGAAATGGATCCTGTAAATATCATAATTAGATTATTTTAATATTTTTAAATATTTTATATACTTTTGTATATATGTTTTTTTAGACTTTCGTAAACAAATAAGTATTTGCACACATGCATATTTCACAAATGCATATTTGCTTTTATAAGTTTGATAAAAAGAGGATAAAAATACTATGATTGAAAAATATATCTTTCTATACCCAGAGATAGACGGATACACTCTTGACTCCATCAATTTCGTGGTGAAATCCTTCGATTAAATTACTCCTTATCCTCTTCTTCCCCATCTTTTCTATTTCGCAGTTTACCATAGCTGAAAATTGATAATACGGTCTAATTAAAATTTTAATTAAGATTTTTTTCTTATTTTTATTATGTTACATAGGAATCTTGTTGAATTTTCAAAATATATAATGGAAATTATTAATCAAATAATGATTTATTATTACAATCCTATGAAGTATTCTCATTTAATATCATAGAATTGTAAGTAATTTTATAAATAATCCTTACATGTTTGAGTATAAATATGTAGTATAAATTAATTTAAAATGATAAAATAAAGAATAGAATGATAAAAGAATAAACCGAATGAAAAAAATCAGATAAATTGTTAAACAGAATTATGATATATGAATACAAAAAGATGATATCGTTATAAGTAAACTGTATTCTTGTTTTTGACAAATGCTGGTGTTGATATATGATTTAAAGAGAGAAAATTTTTCGAGGAAACTAGAATTTTCGACTATGCAAATCCCGGAATTACAGATTCCATCGTTCGTGACAGAGACTCATTCCAGTAAAACAATGTAAATTTTTTCAAAAAAGTTGCCAGGAAAGAAAAAACGATCGTTCCTGTTTTCGAGTTGAATTATGTATGATTTTATCTTTCCAAGTAGACATACGATCCAATAACTTTATCTTGCGAAAACCTTAACAAAAAGATAGCTGATGCTAACAAAAAAAGGTTGAAGAAAACATATTATGAAACAAACAAACTTGTGAAGTTATAATGATCAATAAAAAGATAGATAAAACATTATATAATGAAAAAAGTAATTAATATATTATTTTTCTTTCATTTACAATAAATGCAGTAAGTAAATAAAATATATTCGATCATCGATAGATTTATTGAAGTTACTATTTAATTTTCATTGTATTCGACGAAATTGTTTACCAAATTATTTATAATCTAAAGATCACGCGTTTCTCTTTTTCGTTTTGATCGTTCGTTTTTCTTCTTGAATATTTTATTCTACGATTCTACGAGCACGTTGGGATAGAATAAATTCCCACAAATCGTAAACAATATTATCGATGTAATTGAATTATCCTATATCCTATAAAAATAAATCACAATAAAGATTTTGGAAAAAATTCAATATTCGAAAAAATAAAAACTTAAGAAAATGAATTCGAAAATTTTTGTAAACAATAAAATTTGTATTTACTTTTTAATATACTATATAATCAGACCAGCAAAATCAATTTTTTATTTCCAAATATTAACAAATAAACAAAAAGGAATTAATACTAGTTTACAAACATCAATATAAGAGTTATCTATTGACATAACTATAATTCTTATTTCATGAAAACATTTGTTATCATATAAAAAAAAAGAATTACCTCGCGATCAAAATGATCGAATAAAAAAGAGATATCATAACTTGGAGCGAAGAATCTCATTAATCCTTCAACTTCGTTTCAACTATATCATACTTTATCAACTTGCAAGCTAGCGAGCCCAATCTATCATAGGAATCCATACTTCGTCCTATTCCCCTCCCCAACTCTCTCCTGCTCCAGAGGGATCAAATCTCGCACATACATTCTCCCGCGAGATAAGCGTAAGATAACTTTTGGGATTGGATAAATGATCTCGGCCAAACCGAAAACCTCGGACCCTTCTTCCGACCGACGGATATTCGTTATTTATGGAAACTCGATACAACGGATACAAAATACATTTTCCATCCTTTTCTTACGGCCCATTTCTTCGCATTCCAGAAAGAGAAGTTCGTGAAGTTACTGGATCAGCTGCACAACTCCCTGCGAATCGATCTCTCGATGTATCGAAATAACTTCCCCGCCTCGAGCCAGGAGAAGCTGATGGATCTGAAGAGCACGGTCGACCTTCTCACGAGTATCACATTCTTCCGTATGAAAGTTTTGGAATTGTCCAGCCCGCCGAGGGCGAGCACCGTGGTTAAGGATTGCGTGAAGGCGTGTCTTCGATCGACCTACCAGTTCCTGTTCGAGAATTGCTACGACATCTACAACAGGGAATTCCAAGTGGATCCGAACGAGGCGAAGAGGGACGCCGAGGATCACGGCCCTCGTTTGGAATCGTTGGATTTCTGGCATAAATTGATCGCGCTGATCGTTTCGGTGATCGAGGAGGATAAAAACAGCTATGCACCCGTCCTCAACCAATTCCCCCAGGAATTGAACATCGGTCAATTGTCGGCGGCCACTATGTGGTCCTTGTTCGCGGTGGACATGAAATACGCGTTGGAGGAGCACGAGCAGCACAGATTGTGCAAATCTTCGGCCTACATGAACCTCCATTTCAAGGTCAAATGGTTGCATACCAATTACGTGAAGGATGTGCCGCCGTACAAAGGCGCTGTGCCTGAGTACCCTGCGTGGTTCGAGCCGTTTGTGATGCAATGGTTAAACGAGAACGATGACGTCTCACTGGAATATCTCCATGGTGCCTTCAACAGAGACAAGAAGGACGGAGTAAGCGTTTCTTTTCTTTTTTTTTTTTTTTCTTAGCGTTTCGATTATCTTCATTTTGTTTAATTATAGATAGAATATTTGTTATATTATACACCTGTATTTAATATAGTATGTAAAATTGTTCATAGTTCCAAAAGAGCAGCGAACACGCGCTGTTCAGTGTCTCCGTCGTCGACGTCTTCACACAATTAACCCAGTGTTTCGACGTGGTCTCCAAACTGGAGTGTCCAGATCCGGAAATCTGGAAGAGGTATATGAAGAGATTTGCAAAGACCATTGTGAAAGTATTGGTTGCATACGCGGATATCGTGAAGAAGGAATTCCCAAGTCATCTGAAGGAAGAAAGAATCGTGTGTACTTTCGATAACTAAATTTGGTTTAATTAAACATTTGTAACAAATTGTACTTTTGTTTTCTTCTTGCAGGCTTGCATTCTCATGAACAACATTCAGCAATTGAGAGTACAATTAGAAAAGATGTTCGAATCGATGGGTGGGGAGAAATTAGAAGAGGATGCGGCGAACATTTTGAAAGAGCTTCAACAACAATTGAATGGAGCACTCGACGATCTTGCTATGCTCTTCGCAAAGAGTTTGGAACCAAGAATAACAGCTTCCGTGAAAGAATTAGGAGATCTGTTGTTAGCTATTAAAGGTAGTGGACAAGTGCAACCTGCTCAAAGAAACAACGTCGCTGTCGAAGCTGATGAAGTATTGCGTCCTCTCATGGATCTTCTCGATGGAAGTCTGTCGTTGTACGCTGAATCTTGTGAAAAGACTGTGCTCAAAAGGTTGCTGAAAGAATTATGGAAGATCGTCATGAGGATTTTGGAGAAGACGGTGGTGTTACCACCTATGTCAGACAAGAGTGTATGATTTTTTGAAATTTTTATTCTAAAAATTTTAATCGAGTTAATTAAATATATTGCTACTGTTCATTTTATAGATGATGTTCAAGAATCTAACAGATAATGCAAAGAATTTAGCCGCGAATGCTAAGATAGAAGACATGTCGAAATTGTTTAAAAATCACATGGCCGGCAAACCGGATGTGAAGAATGCACTGAGCGGTGTAATGGTGCGTCATTGTGTATAATTTAATAACTAATATATTTTAAAAGATATATAAATTATTATATCGATGAAAATTTGATATTCTATATCATTGAAAATTTTCATTATAAATATATTATTTTTACATACAGGATATTTCGAAAGAAGTAGAAAAGAATCTTTCACCGAAACAGTGTGCAGTCCTCGAGGTTGCCCTCGATACCATTAAACTGTATTTCCACGCAGGTGGCAATGGTTTGAAGAAGACATTCTTAGAGAAATCACCGGAATTGCAAAGCTTGCGATATGCCTTGAGTCTGTATACGCAAACAACAGACACACTCATCAAGACTTTTGTCACATCTCAGGTCAATCAAGGTAAGTTCTCCTTTAAACGGTAACATCATTAAATATCTTCATCTAAACATTTTCATCAGTTATAAGGTAAAATCATATAATTATGTTGAAAATTATATATGCAATCATAATTTTATTTATCTTTTGTTTATAAGTATCAACGATAGTATATCAAAACTAAACACAAAATTTTATTCATTTTAATTAATGGAGGGAAAAAAATCAAAATAAAATAATATCAAAGAAATCATTATATTTTTTCCACTTGAGATAATCAAAAAAAAAAGCATATTTCATATAAAAAAGAACTAACACAATTTTCCAGCACAATATCTATCATCACACATAACAATTAGCAAAATTTCAATCAAGTTGCGAATCTAAATTGACCGAATAAATTAAATTTTATGAAAACAAACAAGTGACTCTCCAAAAAATTGATTTCCGCTTTATTGCAATACACGTTGTTTATGAATATCTATCTATATCGTGAGTTTCCAAAATTAAATTTATCCATTCATCAATAATCTAACAAAAACTTGGCCCAATCAAATTTCCATTAACCACTGAATTTAAGATCAAATTGAATAAAAGCAAAAGAAAATAAATCATTCTACAACACACGCTTCTTTTACATTTATGATAATTCGTGCACACACACGTACACCGCGACATTTTTGGAAAAATCGACGTACGAAATACAACCGACATAACCGAAATTATCGCGACAGTGCCACTGAACAATGCGTCAAAGCTACGTCAGCGTCAGCGTTCGATGAGCAGCGAAAGAGGTGGCGACGAAGGGGAAGGAGCCGAGGGTATGGAAAGCCTCGAGGAACCCCTTCGCCAGAGCAAGCCCTCTCTTCGTCGAGAGAGTCGACAAGGTATCGGAGAGCACTAGCCACCTTAGAGCAGAAGGGAATTCTTCGCTGACTTCCGGCCACTTTCGAACCTAGGCGCTCATTTTAGGACGTAGTGGACTGTTTGTGATTGCATTGTGCACCGAGCTGTCTTCTCGGGATTAATTAGGAATTTTCTCAATCAAATTTAGAATTCAGATTGTAAGCACTCTTTCGGTACTTTGTACTATGTATAAAATTGAATTATGAACTATAAAGGCGTAAATAATACAAATCAGTAATGCAGATTCTTGATGCATAGCAAACGTTTATCATTAAATGAAATTGAGATAAAAAATGTGTCCTGAAGACTTCTCGGTGATCGATAGTTGTATTAGGTAGTGCTGCTGTTGCTGTCACTACTACTGCTGTTGCTGCTACTACAAAAATACTTACAAAATAATCGATAGTAGAAAATGGCCACCTTCGGATCTGAAAGCCATAGTTTCTCTTAGTGATGCCATCCTTCATCAAGTTGAGATCATAGGTCATTAAGAAGGTTATTAATTGCTAGTGAAACTTCGAACTTCCATAATCTAATAATTCATGAGTTCATGAAGATTTAAATCCTATAATCTTGGAAAGCCCACTTGAAACTTCATAACTTTGGACTCAGAATTCGAGATTTCGAATGATCAATGTTCCACTTATCTTCTATGGCCGCGAACAATATGATATTTGCATGATCTATCACTGTTTTTATAAGGCTGTATTCATCTCGATAGCAATGTTGTTGATGTCCACTTGATAATGACTATCAACCTATTCTGGTACATTTATACTTTCTACAATTTACTTTGTACAATTATGTGTACACATGATACATTTACATACCATATTTAAAAGTTTATTTTTTATTTAATTTTTATCTTTTTTATAATTTTCTCAATAAATGACAGATTACACTTTAAAATTATACTTTATGTATACTTACACAATAATAATATAAATTTGTGAATATATACTCTATATATCACACATACTCCAGAGGTTGCCATTTTCTAACATTGTTTTTTACACTAAGCATTATTTTAATAATTTTTTTTTTTTTTAAGCTTTGACAAATGTACACCTAAACACCTATAGATTTTCTTTATCACAGTCAATTCACCATATCATCTTCCAATTAAATTGTTTTTTCTAAGAAATATATAGCAGATAATACCAACAATTCTATAATTTTTTTTTTTTTAGATATCCATATTGATAAATTAATTATCATTAATCGTAAAATGCATAATCCAGTAAAAACAATGAGATATAAAATTTTTAAAAATTAAATTTTGTAATTTTTACAATTAAATTGTTGCAAACTAATCCTTGCTCATAAAATATGAAGTCGATTAGCAAATTAGTAAATTTATTATTGTATAAAGATCTTGTAAATTTTATATGCTTGAGATTATTCATGTGTCTTTAACAACACAGCAACTTCGTCTTCTTTGATGAATTGATTCAAAGATATAAAATTCCATGCATATGATTAGAGCATGTAATCTGCTCTAGAATTAGATATTATTCATATATTATATAGTATTTTAGCATTCGATTTCAAAATTTTAGTCTCGAATAAAGCCTCAGCAAGGCTCTTTTTTTCTCTCTCGTAGTGACAAAAATTTTGAATTTATATATGAAATCTAACTTGTTCTTAATAAAGTTCCAGATACTGCTGGCACAGAGGAAAGCTCAGTTGGAGAAGTCAGTATTCAAGTGGATCTTTTCACGCATCCTGGAACTGGCGAACAAAAAGTTACGGTCAAAGGTATATTTCATCCAAATTTTTATGCCACATTATAAAATATCTGCAATCACAATAATCTATCTTATATTTAAAATTTCAAACATTTTATATAATATTATCTAATAAATTATACTTTTTAGTTGTCGCTGCAAACGATTTGAAGTGGCAACTAGCTACAGGAATGTTCAGACCATATGTTGAAGTAAACTTGATCGGACCTCATCTAACTGGAAAGAAAAGGAAACAATCAACAAAATCAAAGACCAATAATTGGTCACCACAATTCAATGAAAGTTTCGACTTGTGAGTATTCAAATATAAATGCCTAAATGTAATAACTTTACACTTTGGTATTCACCATCAACTCTTTCTATTTGTTTGATTTATTTTCTCTGCATAATAAATTGACGTAATTATTTCAATATATCCAGCATGATCGGCAATGAGCAGCAGCAATTGGACTTCTACGAATTGCACATCTGTTGCAAAGATTATTGCTTTGCCAGAGAAGACAGACTAGTCGGTGTAGCAGTAATGCAGCTTAAGGATATAGTCGAAGAAGGTTCTTGCGCCTGTTGGTTGTCGCTTGGCAAACGAATCCAGATGGACGAGACCGGTTGGACAATCCTGAGGATTCTTTCACAGAGGAACAACGATGAAATTGCAAAGGAATTCGTAAAACTGAAGAGTGACATCAGGCAGGAGACACCTTTACCGAATCCTACCTGAGACTCGAAGTCACAGCATTAAAGCCACGACAGCGAAGCGATGCGTCCTTCGAGTTTGGAAAGAGCTCGGAGGAGAAAAGGAAAGAAGGGGCATTGTGCACAGGGGAAACTATAGAACGTTCGGCCGTCGTTGTCGAGAATGAAGTCTTTAAAAAACAAACCAAAAAAATAAAAAGTAAAAAAATAAGTGCGAGCAATACCGCAACATATACGAAAACGAAACACAAATAAAAAAAAAAAAAAAAAANACGAACAAGAAAAAAAGATCACCGATAAGGACAATCGGCCGAATCCTTTTCGGTTCTTATGATAACATCGTCGGTCAGTGAGGGAACGAGAAAGCATGTCACGCGACATATTTTCTTCTTGCTTCCTTCGCAGCCAGCTTCCGGTCGAGCGTGTTCTTCTGTCTTTTTTTACGAATCACAGAGCTTTAGCCCCGTCCCCTATATAAACCAAATAAACAAAAAGAAAAAAAAAAAACAACAACAAAACCAAAATAAAGAAAACAAGAAGGAAGGGTTTCGAGTAAACATATTTAAAATGTGCCCCGAATCGAAACGTTCGTCCAATGGAAGTCAAACAAGGGAGAAAAGAAAAAATGGAAGGGTGATTCCTCCCACTCTTTCGAAACAAACGATAGAAAAATAGAATAACGTCCAAGACGGCGAACTTTTTGTTCAAATAAGTGCCGTAAAGATGGAGGATACGAAACCTCAGGTATTGGAGAGTGTTTTGAATAGACGCGATATGTGAAAACAGTGCTGCCAGTATGCAATATATTTGGTAAATATTCGTAACATAAGAAAAGGAGAATGAAGTTGAAATAGTCGTAAAATGTATCCAGCGCGATTAGACCTCGACCTGTATGGATTCACAAAAGAAGAGGAAGCAGCTTAACTGTGAATAGTAAAGAAGAAGAAAATAAAAGAACGATCGAATCGGGGTCCGTGAACATAAGCATGTTGCAAATATAAAACGCGAATCAAACATGTTTTTAAAATTGAAAAGCGAATCGTGTTGCAACGAGGAGATGTAATACTATAAATATATAGACCCTTGTGAGAGACGACGTTTTAGGCCGTTTGTTTGAGAAGACGAGTTTTCTTGTAGATATGTGAAACACATTGTTGACGAAAAAAGTTTTTTCTAAATAACAGTTTAACGTAGCATTGCGTACGACCAATAGGCACATCACGACGTTACTCGAGATGTGCCGTTAGTAATAAATAGGCATTGTAATGTAAAGTACGTTCTTATTGTAAGAATTAACAAGAGATCGTATGAGTCTGATTATTGTTGGTGAACAAATACGAGGTCCGCTCGAAGACTTCGAGCATTCTTCGTGAATCACCTTTGGTCTCGCTTCGAAGATCTTCGAAATGATATATAGATGTTTACTTATACAAGAAATTGATATTCCGTTCCATTGAAAAAGGTAAATAAAAAAAAAGAAAAAGAAAAAAAAAAGAAAAAGTAATAAGAAGAAAGAAGGAAAGAAGTAGAACTTTCGTCCGCCTTAGATTTTCCTTCAGTGTATAATATTGTGAAATAGAGAATCCGGTCTTTGATCTATTATAACCAGAAAATACTATTTCTATGAATCGACAGCCTAACTTTTTCGAAATTAAACTTTATATCGTGGTAGTTGTATGGTAACTTAAATAATCATCTAACTTCGACTCTTTTTCCTCTTGACGATCATTGCTTTTTGTGTGAGCGAACAAAATATGTAAACAGCAAGATGGAACGCAAGCTTTGAAGAAAAAAAAATGGACATTAATACTTCTCTCTCTATTCGCTTAAAATATCTCATCGATATTACTCTTGTAAATAAATCAAATATTGTCCATTCATAGAAATGGTTCGTTACAAAGATTGAAATCCGCAATTCTCTGATATAAGACTTCCCCCACTATATAAAAAAAAGAAAAGGAAAATCGAGAAAATTAAGGGTGGACGCGTTAAACAATCCCTCAATCTGCTACAAAAACAAAAACGGCCCTCGCGGAAGACACTAATGTTCTTCATTTCGCATCTAACGTCGTTCGAAAATTTTGAAGATACTTGTTTAAGAATACATATTGCAATTCTTGCACGAAGCTTCGATCGGATCTCCCGAGAAATTTGCAAATGAAATAAAAAAAAAAATAAAGAAAAGGGAAAAACAATGAAAAAAAGCAGAAAAAATAAACGAAAGATGAAGAAACTAATAATAACACAAAAAAAAAGATGCACGCGACTTTGAAACTAAATAAATTTCATTCTCCGGCCTTCGCAGGTCAACCAGATATACAATTCCAGAGATTACAATGATTATATCCACAAAAAAAGTTTCTACTACGTAGTACGTCTAGATATACTTACGTATTGTGTATAGTATCTAAATGCTGATGTAGTTGCGAGCGCGGGATACTCGTCTGGAGAGAGAGCCATCCAAAAAATGAGGAACATTCGGCTATATTTACAATTACCATATCCGGATGATGCATGCCGTCTATACGCGGCACGAATCAAGCACAGAATTTCTGCATAGGATTTCGTTTAATATTGTGCATATAAGCGCATATCTTTCTGAAATTACTTCTTACCATGTAATTTTGCGACAAAAATCATATATCTCACAATTGAATACAAAAAAAAAAGAAAAAATAACAATGAATTAATCATTCATAAATCAATATCTTTAAATCTCATTACAAAATATTGTAGAACAGAATAGAGAAAATTTACATTATAATTTAAACGTATTTTGTTTTTGTAAACATCAGATTTAGCGCGTTATTCGTTAACGTGATTAAAATGCATAAATTTAAACGGATTTGTATACCGGTTTCGATTAAAATACTTTCGACGAAACGTTCCTCACGTATTAAACGCATTGCAACTCATTTTTTTTTTTTTTTTTTTTTTTAATGTTCGCGTTGCTTCGATCTAGTGTGCCTTCGACCGAAGAAAAACGAACGTAGCGAAAAAAAGATTTCGAATTTGAAACCACACTTATCGAACACAGACAAAAACGACATGGTATCAGCGAAATACGCATATAGAAAATATAGAAAAATACAAATGAAAAAGAAAAAGGGAAAAATTAGAATTGAAAAAGAGAAACACGAATCCGCGATCTCGCCACCATCTTCATTTGTAAAAGTGTCTATTTTCTCCGCTGCCTAAGTACATACTAATTAATGAAAAAAGGTTGGCGAATTCGGCAACCAGGCCAAGTCCGTCGACGAAACGGGAACAATCTTTTGTGTGTTTCTTTATGCTAAAAAGTTTTGGGGTCGCTCGGCGATTGCGCTTCGTGGACGGGATTGACCGCCAATTTTTCCTCCTATTCTCCGCTTCGATTAATATCTCGTAAGCTTAATGAAAAAAAAATATCTCGTGTATTCTGTGATAATTACTACCCTTAAAGTACATATACACACGTATACACTTGCACATACATATTTCACGTAACCTATAAACATTTATACATATAATAATAAAAAAACAGACACACGGTATAACCTAACAATCAGAACTGCTAAGTTGGTACACGGATAGAATACAAGTCTATCTATTAGTTATTTATTGGTTAATTTGTAAATTGTAAGATGGATCAATTGTACTGTATTGAACAATTTATATTGTTATTTAGCTATTAATTATTTCTAATAGATTCAAACAATCATAAAGATAAGCATGCGTAATGATCGAAAATTTATCACAAATAAGAAATTATTATAATATTGAAAAATTTGTTTTTTTTTTTATGTTATCCTAAATGCCAACTTACCAACTCTATAAACAATTGAATTGAATATGCAACATATAACACAAAACAGACAAACATATATAGAAACATAATTGTACATACACAATATACCGCGCGCATATACATATACACATCAAGCACGTGAACACAGTTCCCAATAGCAACAGTATTTTTCTCTTTTAAAAGACATTTCGATTTCTATTCTCTATACTCGTTAAACGTCCGAAGAGTCTCATTGGTATGATAGCGAAAGATACCATGGCAATGTTGCATAAAGATTGTGATGAATTATCACAATATCTATGTAATCGATCGGTAATATAAGAATGACACGAATACGATGATATTGATACTGGGAACGCAAAAGTAATCGTCGAATAATCAATCAGGTAAGAGAGGAATTTCGACGAGCAACGAGGGACAAGAAATGACTAGGAATTTTCACGTTACCGTTTAATAGTGATATTTTTGTCTAAATTCACGTGAACGATATGCGTGAATGTTGCTTCTTATATAGTTTACAGTCATAGGAAAACAAAAGAAATCGTTGTCATAACATTTTGTCCTTTTCTTTATTTTGTATTGATTGATCTAAAAGAAAAAATTGCACAAAAATATATTATTCAAAAAGAAATGATACAAAAGTGCTCTGCAATGATTCAATTTGAAATGAATAAAAGTTTAACCCTGCTGGGACTCTCAAACGGAATTCAGTTTTCAAGTGCTTTATCTTGGATTCTACTTAAGATATCGATATAATTACGGTACTAATACATAATTTATAAAATTGATATTATTCTAGTATTATTAGATTATTATAATAACGAGATGCATGCTATGAATGTTTAGAAATGAATGTTTAATAATAGATCTAGTCTTTAGTCTATGAATTTCATTACTTTTAATAACTTTGAATTCGAAAAAAGAAAAAGAATATAAAAGAACAATGAAAAAAATATATATATATAAAATAGAATGGTCCCTAAAGGGTTAAAAAAAATATTAAAAAAGAAGAGAAATAAAATGTATTATTATCTTTAGATAATGAGAATGCATATCCGTAAATCATTTTAATATATCATTAACATTTATATATTTTAAATTTATACAATCGAAAATAAATGCGAAAATCGAAAAAATTTTTCTGTGATTGAATGTCTCGTTGCACGAATCGATTCATTATTCTTCTCAAAAAAAATCGAAGAAAAAAGAAAAGAAATATGTATATAACGAAACAAGGTTAAGTGTTCGTAGTTCTTGTTCGACGAGAGCATGTCATCGCGAACTTTTGCGTTCAGTAGCTGACCATGGACGCAGAACCAAAGAAAGGAAATTATTCGAAAACTAGACTTCAGATTGCTATATTATGAGAACATTTAGCAGAAGAAACCATTTAACAAATGGAAAGGAAAAAAGAAAAAAAGAACAAATATATACACAATTGTTGACAATACTATGCTTGAGAAATCATACGACGCGTATATAATTGTACTTAACAAATATATTAAAAAAAAAAAAAAAAGAAAAAAAATGGCAGAATGTTTGTGTTTCGTAAATAAAGCATATTAAGGAATAAATTTGTAATCATGTGACAAGAGATGCAAAAAGAAAATAATAACGAAACGCGTAATTCTGTGCGTACGTGCGGATGACTGCATGATTATTAGGTATTATATCTCAACGAGTACATTTTCATCGTTCCCGTAAAGAATACCATTGTTGTTATCAAAATTTTTAACGCGAAACTAAGCGAATGAAGAGGGAGAAGAATTATATTATACAACACACCGTTGCGCAGCCTCCGAATATACATAGGTGAACCTAAAAGCAATTGTATCAGAGACAAACACGCACATTCAACACAAAAAAAAAAATACCAAACCCCAGATCTTTATTAATAAACGTTTATCTTTCGTTCGTTCACTTGCACTAACAGCTTATTCTTTGAATCATTTATGTAGTTCAAATCTTTTTAGCTCTAAACGATGTGTGTGCACGATTTTTCGTTATGATTCTATCTTTAAAAAATGGTATCTCTCTTGATCGATTGACGCACGCGACGCCAGCATTGCCAGGTATTTTTTTGAATTTATTATTTCATTAATTGTTCATGTTTCGTTTATTTTCTTTAACATTGAATTAATTATTTAATTTTAATTTAATTCTAATAAAAATAATTATCGAATATTATATTTTAATGAAATTCATCATTTTTCGCCATATTTGACTAAATATGTACATGTCATCGAAAAAATTAAAATCGCAATGATTTTATCATATTTGATCGATATTTTTATATATATATTTGTCATATTTATTTCATATTTTTATAAGAAAAGAGATATTAAGAAAAATTATATTTTATCATATATATAATATTATTTATTTTCATTTTAACAAAATAATACTTAATTTTTTTTCAAACTTTTAACAATTATTGAAATTTTCAAATTTTTCAGATTCAATTATAAGAATGTGTATCGTGATTAACGATATAATAAAACTGTATGTAAAAAATTGATTATGATTATTTATTTAATTATCTTTAAAAAGAATTATAAAAGAAACAAATTTGTTTGGCGACGTGTGTAACAAGATTCGATCAATAAATTAAAAAAACGACATGATATAATATAAAACAGCGAAAGAGAGAATGATTAAATGACAATGTTATTCAAGAATATGCAAACTATATTATGAATATGAAAAAAATTGTTACAGTGGTGTCTATCGATCAATTAAATAATTAAATGGAGTATAAAAAGGTGATATTGTGCGTGAATAAAATGCAAACGAGGAAAGTTGACCAGAGTTTTATCATCGTTGAATCATTGTACCACATTCCATATCATCATATTTTACATGAAAGGTAAAACCAAAATATATTCATTATCATGAAATATTAGATAAACTTTAAGATGTGACTCAATGTTTCATCAATGCATAATCGCTGTACGAAATTTATCGAAACCATCGATAATCTAGAGGACTTATATTTCATTAATCATAATCCAAATTCTTAATTATATTACTTTAATAAAAATTATCATTGTATGTTAATGTTTAATTTTTTAAAAATTTTTAGATTTAGTTAATATACATCGAAATAAAATACACATATATATATATTGTATATAAATGATTTTATCAATTTCTCTTTTTTATTTTTATTAAAGTAATTTTTTTTAATCTTTATTACGGATAAAATAAGAATTATATTTAATTTTTACGTTGCGTTAAAGACCTCTAGATTTTCGTCTGAAATGATGAAAACAAAATTTATATATCTGATCGTTTTATCACGTTGTTTTTATCACTTTCATTTTTACATCAACCATCATTGCCATCATTGTAATTATAATATGGATTTTCATGTTATATGAAGCGTTGCTTATTGTCTCGATTATCTTTTCGTAACTTATAATTTTTGCATTATAATACGCTCACATGTAAAATATTATTATGTACTAATCGTGCAAAATATATTGCATATACAATTGCACATATATATGTAATTTATGTGAAATATTACAAGCTATCAATTTCAAAACTATTAAAAATAGCGCCAAATTTGGCATTTAATAATTTCAGAGAAAAGTTAATAATAAAAACTAGTTTAAATTTTATAGTACCAAAAAAATTTTACTTTTATCTATTAATTTCAATGATAATAGCTTGTAATACTACACACATATATATAACACTTGTACATATACATGATCATGCTATGCATTCACGATCTGATTGTTGTTGTTTTGTGTTTCAGTGAATTAGCAAAAATCTAACAACATAAATTACGTGTCTTTCTATAAAATTTATTTATAAAACTTATATGAAAGAAACGCGAAGCATCAACCAAAATGAAACATTTTCAAAATACACATTCATTGAATTTAAAAATTCTTATGTTTTGGTACATTGATAATCTTGTTATCATATTTCATCTATTATAATGTGTTATTTATTCTTTCTCATTATGTTATTAATTCTTTATATTTTCCATTTTTATTTAAAATCCAATACATATCAAGTTAAGAAAAGAAATATATCGACCAATTCTGTATGAAATTTTACATACATTCTTGTTTATCCAAAATTACATAATATTGCTAAAATGAAATATTGCTAAAAAAATAGTATTTCATAGAATGTCTGCTTTTCTTTTGTAAATGTTAATAAAGCTTAGCATCTAAGATAATGTTATTTATTGTACATTGCAAAAATGCGATTTATTTAAACAAGATTTTTCTTGTTATAATATCTGTATACAAACTAAAATATTTATATATTTTAATTAATTTCTTAAAAAGTGAAACATTATGTAAAATGCAATTATTGTCACAAAGTAGGATTTAATACAATTATCAACATTAACATACAATACATTCTGATATAAAACATTCAATTTATTTATTTTTATTTATTCTTACAAACATTTGCACTGCTTGTCTAATTTTCATTCATATGAATTTATCATATCCAATGGGTGCTCTTAAATAGACAGCGGAACAAAAATTATATGATATAAAATGGTATACATATACATATAAGAGATTGATATAAAGGATGGCTTTCTTAATGGAATAAGCTATCTCAGGGGAAGGTAATTCAAAAAATCTAATAAAACTTCAAATTCTATGAATTTCAAGATATTTTACTTAAATACCTCCTTTTATTTAATATAATATTATCACATAAGTTAATTTAAATTTTATTTTAAAATAATTTCAATATATAGACTTTTCAATATATACATATCAATACATATACATTTTAATTACATAATTAAATACATAAAAAATAATTAAATATATGATTATTATTTATTAATTAACATTTAATTTATCTTCATAGATTTTTTAATTATATATTTTCTTCAATCTATGATATAAATTACTATAGCAATATGCTAAAAATTATATACGAATAAAAATATAAAAATATATCATATTTTTTTCACATATAAAATTTTTTTATTTTGCATATGTCATAAATATATTTATATCATTAAAAATTTATATATTTTAAATATATCAATTAGAACAAATATATTTTTCATGTACTTTATTAAATGTTTTAACTACAATAATATTGATTGACATGTATATATATTAGTATTATACATGTATTGTAAACAATATAAAATCTTTGCTTCATTTTTTTTCATACATACTTCTAGTTAAGTGCTCCCCTGGTACGTATACTTTACCCAAGTGTTTCTATAATAAATATTAAGAAATCTTATATTATTTAAAAATATTATTTATATATTATATATATTATATTATTTAATACATATAACATAATTACTTAAAGTAAAGTTGATAAAAATAATTTTAAACAATAAAAATTCTAATTTATTTCTTTTTTTTAATAATCAATTAATAATTCCAAATAGAATAATTTTTTTTAAATTATTTTCTGATTTAATTCTAAAAAATAAATGAACAAAAATATGAAATTAATCACAATTAGAGTATAATTAAAAAACAATAATATTAAATGTTATAGTACAATTAAAAAACAATGATAATTAAAATTAAAAATAATGATTAAAATTACGATAAAACATCTCAATAATTTAAATTTAGATTAAATGTCAAAATAGATTAAATTTAAATCAAAATTTGAGTTAAAGTACAGTAAAATTTTGATATAAATTATATAAATTATAAATTATTGTTAAATTTAAGTGTTTTCTAAATTTAAAAATAATTAAAAAATTTTTGGAATATTTATCGAAAGTTATTAGAAAATATAGAAATCATTAAAAAATATTTGATCTTTTAAAATGAAATTTAATTACAAATGTATTTCAATGCAAATTAATATTAATATATTTCTTAAATAAAAAACATTAATTATAAAATATATTAATTATATAAGAATATTTTATATTACCAATTCTATCTCACGAGCATAAGATAACTGAGGATTCGACCATAAGTTGTACAAACGATATCGTCGAGGCTCAAAATATATTGAGTATATCCAAAAAACAAATATAGATGTTATTAATAAATTTCCTGGTGTAAATTTTTCAATCATTTTGAATATTTAAATTCTGAAAATAAATTCAAATTTAATAATAAACTTTTCTTTGCGATTACGTTGAATATAACCTTTACACAATAAAGCTTTACTAGTGCTGCCACACCAATGAGTTACATAAGATAAATATAGACATTTTTAATTGGTTAAATTATTATCATATTTAAGGCTTATTTTCATATAAAAAATAAAATTATTTCAAAGAAATAGTATATACATATACAATTAATTGAATACATTAATTTAAATATTTAATAAATATATGATTTTTTAAAATATCATTTTTCTTATTTAGTAATATTAACTATTACTAACAATAACAAAAAAGAATAAATAAAAATATGTATATAACAAAAATAGTTTCCAAAGATAAATTCAAATCAAAATAAATACATTAGTATAATAACAAAATAAAAAGAAAAAAAAATTATTTTATTTTCTTTTTTTATTTTTTGAATATATGATTTATAAATATAACATAACTGAATATATATGAAGTATAAAAAATTCTATTAAGCATTAAATTACATGTATTAAAATTAATTTATTTTATCCCTTTACAAAATTGTATATGTAGAATTATAAACTGAAAGTAGATGGCAGCAGCAGTATCCAAAGAATCAGGCGATGCAAGTGAAGGTTGTCAGTCGATCGTTGGCTGCGACCGTAGGAGGACAGTAGAATCGACAATCGCATGCTATTTGAGTGTAAATCGGGATTGGTTGACGGTTCTCCCGTAAGCCCCACCTACCAGGTGGTCGTTCGAAAGTGTAGTTGTGTAGTTCCTTACGGCGAAACGACGGGCGCTGCTCTCTCTTGAACGTATCCAATCGCGAGAAAATCTGAAATGAGACGTATCGGTACGCTAATATGTGACGGTTGAGAGAAAACGAGGACCAGGAACGTGTGAGAGGGTGGTCTACGCGCGGGTGTTACCACTTTCGAAGCGTGACGAAGAAAACGAACCGCGTAAAGAAGTGGCAAAGGTGGAGATCGTGAAAAAGATCCGCGTCGAAAAACAAAAGAAAACGCGTGTGTGCCAGAGCTTCGTGTAAGAAGAATCCTCTATTTCGGGGGGGGGTTGTATATCTTTTTCTCTCTTTTTTTGTGCCTCTCTACCTTCTTTTTTTCTTTCTATTTCTCTTCGTCTTTACTCGATTTGTTCCGAGTGAAAGTATCATTGCGGCAAGTGTTTTCTCACCGTGTAGTATGCGCCGTTTCGTATCGCGGGGTAACAAGTAGAGGTAAAAAAAAGTGTTTCGTTTAACCAACAAGGACGTCAGCTGTGTGCGCTTTTACGAGGGGGACGTGTGCGAGAGAGAACCCACTGTTGAGAGACAGAGAAATGGCGGCGCTGGTGGCAGGTGTCCAGTATGGTTTGTCGTCGCACAGTAATTTTCACGAAAACAAGTCCCTGATCTTCGTGAAACTCACCGACTCGGCGCAACGTGCCATCGAGGACTTTCTCAGAAATCGGGTAAGTAAATATTATTCTTTTTTCATGCCATTCTTAGCAATATCTTTTCCTTACGTATAGGCTAGAGTTGCAAACTTGTATCGTATATATACATATAGATGTATGTATATGTACGCGCCTCTGCACGCGTCACGAAGCAGTCATGTGTGCGTACATGTGTCGTAATGTCGTGCCAAGAAAAGAGACACCCGATCGTCAGTCGCTTGCCATATTTCGTATAAAATTTCTTTACTATACGATCAAAGAATTATCATATTTGTTCACAGAAATTAATATAAACGTTATTATTTGAATCTACAATTATTATAGCATCGATAGAAACAATAGAAAGAAATATCAGAACTAAGATATCAGGCCACGTTGGCTTGTTAGCAGCTGCTTAGTGCTCCACGTTTTTCCTTCTTAGCTTGTAACGGTTAGAAAAAAAATCGAATACAATTCAATTTAAAACAATTAAAAGTGTCTTTTTCATCAAATTACGCTCGACTACATCATTACAGTATATCCGTATGGTTTGACAATGACATTACGTAATAAGGGGACTGACAAGGCAATTCACTTGCTTGATTCATTTTCAGATTGCGGAAATTTTAGAAAATTTATTTAAATCATTGATTTATTCGTTCATGTATACTAATTTTTAATAAAATTCATTAAAATCAGTGTTATTTGAAACATCTTTAAAAATTATTTGCTTTTAATATTGCAAAGCGTGATTTTTGTAAAACTTTCTTTTAATTCTCTTCATCATAGCTAATGTTCTAAAATATCTTTTTTTCGCTACAATAATAATTTTGTATTTTCATGAAGGTTATGTTTGACCATCATTTAGGTTTTTGATTTCATAAATATATTCACGTTTATCTGCTTATAGATTAGCTTAGAGAATATAAGAGAATATATATATAATAAAAAATAGACAGGGAAAAAATGATATAAGTATGTTGCTATTATTATGAAAAAATCGTCTCAATTTAAACGAGTTTTATATTTCCTGACAAATTCTAACCTCTTAGACGAGATTCGAAAGTAAAGTCGTCAAAGGGGCGTATGCCCTTTGTCAAAATATATCTATATTAAAGCCAGTCATATAGAAAGCTTCTATATACTTTTGTTCTTAATATGCATATATATATATGTAAAGAAAAATCAAATTAAAGTGAAAAAGAAAAAAATTGAAAACATAAAAATATCTATATGAATTTTATGTGGATTATCGTTTTTTTTTTTTTATTTTTTTTTAATTTGTGATCGTATGTCATTTGAACATATTTATGAATCGATTTGATTAATGCAATTTCAAAACTTTATATATACTTTGAAATTTTAGTTTATGTGAATTTTATGATAACTTTTTCAACTTGGTAAATTAAAATGTGAATCTTCTGTTTCCATATGTTACTCTTGTCGCTTGTCAGTTCAATGATTTATCACTTATACGTTGGTTGAATAAAAAATTATTTTTGAGTTTTCCTTATCTTTGATTAGGAATATTTCAACGTTTTATTATTTTAATATGTATAATCACGTTTTTTTTAGCCACATTATTTAGTTGAATCACATATGTATATATGCATATTATATTTGATTTTATAAATAAATTTTTTATACATAAAAATCAATATTTTAATATTTAAATATTTTTATTTTATTATCCTACAAATTTTAAATTAAAACAATTTCTTAATCAATAATTTGCAAATTTTTCACGATTATTTGTTGATCAACTTTGCATAACATTGAAATGTAAAATATTTTACAATTTTCTTGTTTTTATTTTTATTTATTATGAATGCTACATAATCTAGTGATTATATATAAAAATTAAAATTAAATTAAGATAAAAATAGAAATAAATAATTCATTTATATTTTAAATATATATAATAATATATAATAAAATATATAATAAAAATTTTGCTTAGTAAGTACAAACTATCTACAAATCGATAAACGATGTACATAAAGAATTCACGAAATTGCAATTGGAATTGGAATGCGACAAAGCATTTATTTGTTCCACATCAGGAAGCAGTTACATTATGCACGTAGCATGATTTTTCGTGTGGATAAATATATGCTTTTACGACGTTCAATATTATAATTTGTAATATTTTATGTTTTAAATAATTGATTTGTTTTCTTTTAAATATTCTGATTCATTTAGTGAATTCATAGAGAATTTTTTCTTAAAGTTTGAGATATGTCTTAACAATTTCTTGCTTAAATTTCTTTGCTTAAATTCATACATTTTTATATTTGTATAGTACGAAAAAAAAATAATAAAAAATAATCTATAATATAATAATTTTACATTAAAAGTAGTATGTAATCGTTTATTTAGTTCAAATATTTCAGTTAATTCCGTTACTGCTCATTAGTGGCTACCGCAACGCCACTGGTGGTCAGTATGATAATTAACGCGTTAAATAAAACTATGAATGTTCTAATTTGTGGAAAATGCAATGTTTTTTACAATGAAATCAGTTCATATTATTTGAGTAAATAATTCGAAAGATATAATAAATAGCGAAAAAAATAAGAAAAGCCTACGATATTACTTTGAAATACAGCACGTGTATTAGATTCGAATCTCTTTTTTTTTCGGGTACAGTTGCATAATACTGCGGTCAAGTGTCATGTATCTATGGTTATACGTATGGCTGTTGAACGACAAAAGAGAATTGCAATGTAGTTTTATGGCCATCAAATAATTCAGGCCAAAGACGCCTTATATATTGACAATGGTATTAATTTTGAATATTAAAATAAATTTTATATAAACGAGTATAATAAATATAAATGTTTTTGACCATTTAAACAAAGAATATCCAATTCATTTTAATTATTTGATTTTTTCATTAATATTTTTTTGCATAATTTTTTATAATCACAGTAGATACTTGAAGATGAAATTAATTCATTTAAATAAAATTTATTTGACGATGAATTATAAATTAACAATTAATATTTTAACATTATTCGAAATTTCTTTAGACATCCATTTTCTTTTCAAATAAAGTAATATTTTTTATTTCAAGCTTGATTATTAAATATTTAAATCACGCGTTTGTAAACAATGATACAATAATTTTTGTTTTTTTCTAATGATTGTATAAAGTAAAGATTGTATAAATTTTTTTGAGGAAAAAAAAAGCATAGATTAAACATGAACGTGGTGCAGAGTTCTTTAAAAAGTAACGCAAGATTCACAGGCCTTCCGGGCTCCCAGAGGCCAGTTCGACCTGGGTACGTGGCACATAACCCCATAAGAAAAGAGGCGTGGGGCCCCCTTTGAGTAGCACAGCTGTTCTTCGAAACTTGAATAACGATCCAGGGGAACAGGCCGCGCCGACGGCTGGAAATTTTACAAACCAAGAATAAGTATTGCCTCGTGATTCGAATCAAGACGTCGTGAAATAGTCCCTGTCGTGCGCATTAACCGGTTGCCGAGCGTATTTGATCAATGGTTTCGCTATAATTTTAGAACTATAAAACTAGATTCATTCGAAATAATTAGAAAGTCGTAGATGCGAATATTTTTGAAGAAAAATAATTCTATTAGATGAAGAAAACGAAATATATATATTAAATATCTTATAAAAATCTTAAAAAACAGTTTTTTTTTTCTCTGAAAAGAAATCTTTTTTTTTTTTTTTTAAATATATATATTAAACACACATTAATTTTCAAGCATTGAATACCAAATTATTTCAATAAACAATCACACGTACTCAATTATTATATATAAGAACAAAAATAAATCAATTTTTCATAGCCGCATTGAATGATACATATGAATTCGATGTGAGAAATAACGCTCGCGTATTTTTAACGAGCGAAACATTTAGAAAGCGTTGGGGTTTAGACGATTATAGACAGTTTCTTCGCGGAATACAAGCAAACGTTGGCTTTTGCCAACGATGGACGTGAGGATATTTTTCTTTTTTTGATTGAAGTTTTTTTGAATGGATCCCTATTTTCATCGCGATTATTATGATTCCGCATTCACCACATCGAAGATTTTCTCATCTCGTTCGTATTTCTCGTTATGCTTTGAAGCGCTGCTCGCTTGAAATAGAAATCGGCCTTTCTCGACGTTATTTGAATTAAGTTTCTCTGTTCCGGAAGACATGATTCTTCTGCACGTTGGTTTTCAAGTAGCAATACGTATGATCGAGGTAGCTTTGCCAATGGTTAGGAAACAGATGTGTCTCGTAGAAACACATCTTTCCTTGTGGCGACATCTTTATTTTGTCGATAACAATAAAACTTATTTCATTTCAACCCTTCCTTTCTTACTGTCTGATTTCCTTACTATTACCATTCTTGTTGCTATTTCATTATTGGATTCCCCCTCTGTTTATTTCATTTGTTATTATTTTTTTCATTTAAAATTTTATAAATTTCATTTTGTATTTTCATAATTTTAAATTTTTATTCGTTCTTTTTTTTCTTTTTATAACTTGATATAAAAAGCAAAATATTCTATTGTTTCAAGACCTTACCTATCTTGTTAAATCTATAAAAGGTTTAGCGTGAAGATTACATAAGCTTGAAATTGTTTAGCATTTTCTTTATTCAAATATTCAAATACTACGTATATTTTATTCAAAGATATATCTACTGCTTACCAAACAAAACGTTACATAAATTGTTATGCTACCATAGATTGTTGTATCAAACTCGTTTGTTTGTTCAATATTATTTTAAATTGGAAAAAGATTAGATTTTAGTGTTATCATTTTATTTTATTTTTATACACATTATTGATATCTTCAAAGTAATAAAAGAATGTCTTCATTAATCTTTTATTTCTACTGTTAGTTCTCTTTGAAAATATTAATTTTTCCAGAAAAAAATTCAAGATATTATTGGTAAACATGTTAAAACATTAATTTGTTAATTTAATTTATCAACTAGTATAAAAATATATTTTGTGATTATTGATCTAAGAATTTTCTTTCTTGTGATAATTTAAAAAACATGTTCTTCAAGTTT